GCGCTCACCCGGGCCGCCGGCGGTGCCGCACTGCGCCTCGCCGGGGCGCTCGCAGCTGCCGCTGGTGGTGCTGCACCCAGGCGCTTGCCGCTGCCGCGCGAGGGCGCTCATTGTTGGCGGTGCCGCGCCAGGGCGCTTGCCGCTGCCGCGCAGCGGCGCTCATTACTGGCAGTGCCGTGCCGCAGTGCGGTGCTCGCCGCTGCCGCTGGCGGTGCCGCACGGTAGTGCTCGGAGCTGGCGATGCCATGCCATGCTGCACGGGGGCGCTCGGGGCTGGCAGTGCCGTGCCGCGCCAGAGCCCTCACCACTACCGGGGCGCTCACCGCTGCCGGGAGACTGGGCTGTTGCTCGCCTTCATTGCCGCCTCTCTCCTCTCACTGAGGCTCCCTATGCAGAGCTGGCTAGCTTCACTGAGGCAAGGGGAACCCATGGCTCCTGGAGTGGCAGCTGTGGCCCTGGGGCGGTACCACAGGCCGCGGTGGCATATGCGCACCTAGGACCTAGGCGCCAAGCGCTCAGCATTGCAGCTCTCCCCTTACCCTCCTGCAGCTGACTCTACCAGTACAATATGTGTCCCTTCTGCAGCAAGGCCTGTGCCTTCTGACCCTCCCTAACACCCTCCTGGGCCATTCAAGGCTGCCCGGTCTATGGGTGGGAATCCAGTCAGTTTCAGAGACTTCTGTCCCTGGCTCCTCCTGGTTCCTGCTCTTCCAGTGCTCTGGGGACAGTGTGTTACGTTTACAATAAAGAAAAGGTTTGCTGCTTGGGAGAGGGAGAGGGCGATTCCTAACTGTATTCTGTTTTATATACGCTGCGTTTAGACTTACTTATGGTGAAGAAGGCATTTTCTTTGAAAGGAAACAAACTCTCAAGTCATGAAGATACACAGAAGCTACTATGCCAAAAGAGCTCCTAATTCAGGTCCCAGTTGTTGTCACAAAGGAGTGAACAGAATTCCCACCCCTGCCTTTTTTTATATAATAAAAGTGCCTTAGTATGGTTGCAGTTGTCACTGATGCTGAAAGATCGACCCCCGTCCCTGATAAGCCAGATTGAAACTCTGAGACAGGGTCTTGGAACATAGGAAAAAAGAGACAGCTTTATTACTTTGCCATGCAAAGGGGACTCACAGCAGGCTAGTGTCTTTAAAACTGTGAACCCATCTTGAGGATGGGGTAGGGTGATTACATAGCCGTAGCTTAAAGAATAAAGCATTGATAACAATCAACAGAATTATTTTCTTCTTATAAGACTCAGAGTGGCATCATGGTGTCTCCATGTGACCAATTCTCTAGAGGCTTTGATCTCTTTATCTTGTAAGCCCCCATGGCATGGCCTTCTTGGTAATTCAGGCTATTTTGTAAGGTTACAGTTCTGTGACCTTCTCCCTGGAGAACAATTCAGAAACTAAGTATTATTGCTTTCAATTACTAGAATAAAGCAGAGACAGTGAAATTAATAGATTCATTTTAACAATGGGCCTGGAGCTGAGAACAGCAATCGGTCAGTCAGGTTAGTTGGCCAGTTTAAGAGCAAGCATGAGAATAAGCAATCTGTTTGCCTAAGTGTGGGCATTTTATTAATTCTCCTTCATCGCCACTACAGTAAGCTGGTTTGCAGATGTTTTCCACTGAGCGTCACAATGAAGAGCACCATGTGCTATGAGGAAAAAAAGGGGGAGAGGGAGAGGGATTAATTTAGATTGAATGCCAGTATAATTCACTTTATCTGAATATTTTTTTCAACTTTTTCTTATGAAGTTCTTATAGGACAAGTTTTATTCTTATTTATCACTTTATATATTTTTTGAAAGGTGATGAAGACAGCACCATTTTCTCAAAAGCGTCATTCAAACTTACGGAACCTCAACAAGAAGTGGAATCAGAGAACAGAGACAGCAGAAAATTATTTGGGGAAGGTGATAATCACCTCACACAAGAGGCACAGAATGAAGAACAACCAAATGTAAAAGATAAACTTTCAATATGATTATGTTAAGGTGAAATATATTATTAGTTAGTACTAAGTCCATTATTTTTGCCCTGAACAAGGTTTTTAATATAGTGATATTTCAAAAGGTTTTACTAAAAAGTCACCTATAACACATTAAAGAAAGCCTTGGTCAAGAACCCCAACTGATATACCAAGAAATACCAAGAAATAGAGGTGTATATTCTTTAGACTTATGGTAATACCACCAGAAGACCTAAAAACCAAAATGAGGACTTATAAAAAATGGGACTCAGAGAAAGGGAGTTAGGTGGGGAGACGAGACTTGTATGCCACAGTAATTTTACTTTATCCTGTGCGTGTGTTACTTTATAAAAATAGGGAAATACTGTTTTTAAAGAAATATATATTTTGAAATTTAAAAAAAGGAAAAAAACCCTTGGGTTCGAAATAATTACTTCTGAACTCATCGTCCTAGAGCTACAAAGTACATTCATTTTTAAATGAACATATTTTATTTAGTTTTATATTTATTACTTTCTATGTTGATATTTTCTTCATTGTATGTTGTTAAAGTATGAGGAATTAAAGTAAGCACATAGTCATTAAAAACAATGAAAATAATCTTATAATAGCAATTTATTTTTGTTCTTAAAGTTCACAATTTAAGCTCTTTAGGGAAAAAAAATCCATCTATTTCTTTGGGGAAGTTATCCCAATAATAAATGCCAGTATAAGGATGTAAGTTTCTTTCTGTAATCTTTTGATACTTTCAAAATGAAAATAATGGATTTTTGATTTGTGTTACTGTTTTGGAAATATATTTGTAAAAGTAATGTAAAGATTAATGTCTTCTAATGCTTAGAGCACATGTTTAAATTTGAAGACAACACTGAATAAAGAGCACAGGAAGTACAGATTATATTTGAGAATAATTCATAGAAAATAATACTGCCCATTTTTTAGTGTTCAATTTTAAGTGTTATTTAGTTGTGGATTTAATAATATGTATAAAAAGGTAAGGTTAAGTTGATCTGGGCTTCTTTCCCCCTACATGTACAGACTGAACAGGAAGCATCACTGGAACTGATTTTATTAGAAGATTATGACTCGTTAATAGAAAAGATGAGTAACTGGAATTTTCAAATTTTTGAACTTGTAGAAGAGATGGGAGAGAAATCAAGAAGGATCCTCAGTCAGGTTTGTCTCAAACCTCTACTTTTTTATTATAAATTAATTTTTCTTGAATCCATATACAACGCAAAGACTATAAGATGTGTAATATTGGTTTAGGTGCAAGTTCAGCATTGGTCATTGAATTATTTTTTCACAAATGAAATTCTCACTAGAAAATTTGAAAAGAGAAACCTGTATATATAGACCTATATATATATATATATATATATATATATGTTAACAAATATAAAGTATTATATAATTTTATAATATATGAAAAGTAATTTGCTCATAATAATGGAATTTAAGTTATGCTAAAGAAGTAACAAAGATTTACTTTTTATTGAACCTTGTGGTTGAAAAGGGCATGAAAGGTGATCTAGTTCTAAGGACTGAAACTTGTGCTTCACCTTTTTCACCTGTCTTCCTTGAGCTTTACCCAAGGCCAGAGGGCTCATCTGATTCTAGAACCACGGAAAATACTTCCACTTTACTACCCAGACTCAAGGGGTCCTGGTGGGTCCACACAACAGCATCAGATTAACCTTCCCCAAATCTCTCATTAACTCCAAAGTATCTTACTTACGAAATGCAGGAATATAAGGATAAATTATGGGGAGGACATAGAAGTTCATCTCATTGAAGTCTTTAGGGATAGGAATGTAATAAACATATTCTTCTGACTTCTTTTAACACCTAGTACTAGAATAGAAGACACTTCACATGCCCTCCAATAAAATATGAATGAAAAACTAGAGGGAAGAGTAGAAAAATTTTACAACTGGGACATGATATGGTAATCTTTCTTTGGAGTTCAAGGACTTGAGGCTAATATCTTTCTTTTTCACGTTTTGGAAAGAATTCGTTGTAGAGATGTTTGTAACAAATTATTAAGCTAATGACATACACATGATTAACTTACCCAAATGCAAATCACAAAAGCATACTACAACTACAAATAGAAATTCTGACTTTTTAAAGTGAACTTTCTTTTAATTGACATTTAGGTTATGTATACCCTATTTCAAGACACTGGTTTATTGGAGATATTTAAAATTCCCACTCTACAATTCATGAACTATTTTCGTGCATTAGAAAATGGTTATCGAGACATTCCTTGTAAGTATTAACTTATCTTATTATTTAAGTTGAAATAATACTGGTTTTAAAACTTTTCCTACAGATAGTCCTTTCAACACTTTCTAAATTACACGTTTGGGAAAGTTGAAAAATGGAGATTTAAAAACAAATCTGCACCTGCCTACCCAGAGTTAACTGACTACTGTTAACGTTTTGGTGTATCTCCTTCAAGACTTTTTCTTACATATATTTATTGTTTATGAAGTGAATAATATTGATACCTATTTATAATCTGTTTCACTTGATTATGTAGTACGCATCTTTTTATGTCAATCATATCATCTTACTACCTTATCTTTTCAAGTGTTTGGTAATATTAAGTCATGAGTTTCAGAATTTGACTTTGAAATGCTTAAAATTTATCCATAGAATTTGTTTTTAACTGTGTCCTGATTTGTGAAATAATTTTTGATGGTGATTTGATTTTATGGTAAAATGGAATCTTAATTTCCTATTAGGAAAAGATAGTTTTCTTTATGTATTGATTCATTTCACAGTTAACTTCCATGTGGACACACTTTTAAGCAAATTATTTTTAAATTGGCTTAACTTATTAATATTGGTGAATGCTTAATAACTGAATGTGAGTTATATGTACTATAATTACCACTTACAAAGAGGCATTTTGAAAAGTGGCTGAATTTTATAAATGGAATAAAATGATATTTTAAGGCAGACTGCAAGGGAAGGAGAATGGAGAAATGAAGGTGGTGAGGCGTCTTCACTATCACCTCCAGTTGGGACATGTATCGGTTAAGACAAGAGTCCCGGGAGCGTCCGCTGGCGCCGCTGGCTGGGCTCGCTGCTGCCCTTGGTCGTGGGGTCGTCCTTGGCTCCGAGGCCGCAGCATTCGTGTTGAGCTCACTTCAGGCTGTGCGTGACCACTGGGTACATATACTTGTCCCTGTGGGGTTTGTCTTTGGATGGTATCTAGACAAAAAGAATGATATAAAACTAATTGCCTTCCAGAACAAGAGTCTCTTATTTAAAAGGGAATTGAGGCCCCATGAAGAAGTCACCTGGAAGTAAAGGCTGTGGCTGAATTACAGAATGTTCACATTTTTTAAATTATGGGAGAAATAAAAACACATTCATTATTTAATTTGGAAAAAAAAAAAGACAAGAGTCTCTGGGATCTAACTTTTCTAAATTTTAGTTTCCAAATATGTAAGTAAGAATAACAATAGTACCTATCCCAAAGGTAGTGATAATTCAGGTAAATCAAAATTCATGGCACACAGTAAATGGTCAATAAAAGGTGGTGATTGTATTAATAACAATTAAGCTCCTAGTGGGCTGACATTGTGTCCTACCTGTATGGTCTGAACACTTAGTATTGTATCATCTGCTAATGAGACATGGTGGGTACTCATTAAATATTTGTTGAAGTAACAGCTATGACTATAATCACTAGCTTCACAAAGCTCATCTTATTTAATCTTTGTTGGAAAGATTGTATTATCTACCCTTTATAGGTGAGAAGTAAAAACTCAGAAGGATCTTTCCCAAGATCGTAAAATGGGGAATAGCAAAGCTGGATTTCAGTTGTAGGTCTTACCTTTCCACAAAGCAGTATTTCAGCAAACCAGTGTTGTACTGATCATATACTACATGTCAGTCACTGTTCTTGATGTTTTATGTATCTTTTAATATGTAATTCTTATAGCAGGCCTGAGAGATAGGTATTTATTTTTGGAGTGGGTGTGGGGGGTTCAAGTATCCAAAATTTGTAACTGTTCTATGTGTCTGTGTGCAGAAACTGTTTTGTTTACAAACATGGGTTTCCATAATCCAGATGCTATTTACATATTTTTAAAAACCATAAAACAGCAACCTTAGGTAAATTTTCCAGTGCCTTTCAACTAGCCCTGGTTACCCTGCCTTTTCTTTGACCCTTCTACTATGTTTTCATAGTATATGTGAAAGTTTTTAAAAGAAAACTTTTTAACACATCAAGAGACTTTATAAAATATGAAACAAAAATTGTGGGAAATTATTCTAAGCCGTATATTTTATTTATGAGAATACAGTATGACTAGAGAGTATTTTTTAAAATATCTTATGTTAAAAATAACAGAATGATCATTTTTATAAAACATTTTGGTGACTTTAGATCACAATCGTATACATGCCACAGATGTCCTACATGCTGTTTGGTATCTGACAACGAGGCCAATTCCTGGCTTACAGCAGATCCACAATGATCATCGAACAGGAAATGAAACAGGTACTTCCTTCTACAAATCTTTCATTTGATTGTTTGATTAGTAATAATAAATCAAGCTATCTCATTTCATTATCTCTGTTCTTTTAAATTTTTTATTCAGTAAACTTTGGTACATATAAAGGACTATGTAAATTTTGATGCATAACAGTGACATGCAAATTAGAAATCCACTACCCATCTTAAGAGTTAAGACTCAATACTACTGAATCCACCATGTTTCTTTTCTGTGTCCTATCCTGCTGCTTTCTCCACGGATGTAGCCACTATCCTAAATATGATGATAATCATTTCTTTGCTTTTCTTTCAATCTTGGTTTTCTGTTTTAGGTGTATCATGTAAATGTAAAATATATAAAAGTCCCAACAAAAGGGAACATGTTTTAGAGCCTCACGTAAGTCTTTAAAGGATGTTATTAAAAAGCTTTTAACATTCAAATTTTGTTTCTTCATCATAAATATAATTACTCATACAAATATAATTAACTATAACACTCATGGCTCTTATTCTAGTTTATAAAAGAGGAGAGAAATATTCCAGTAAGATACACACATACAGACCCATATGTAAACCAGGACAGAATTTGCTCAGTTACAAATGCCTGAGAAATATTACCATACTAATTACTGTAAACGTCATAGTCGTAGCTAATGCTTTACTTTCTTTGGTAGTTGAGTCTAAAGTGCTGTCGTTGTCTGACGGATTTGCCTTATGTCACTGGTTCTTTTTTGTCTGCCATCCGTATTTAGTCTTTCCTAGTTCTCTTCCTTCCTTCCAGTAGTTCTGTGCTTCTGTCAGAGATGATATAATTTTCTGCAGCTTTTTTGTTTGTAGATAGATTTATTTTATCTTAGAAGAATGTTTTTTTTTATTTCAGTGCATTTGTAGATGTCTTTACATTTTCTGACTTCTGTAGTTTCTTTTGACAAATCAGCCATGAGTCTTATTTCTCCTTAAAAGTATGATGTCCCTTTTCTCTTTGCTACTGATTTTTAGCATTTTGACTGTGATGTACTCAGACGATATTCTTTGTATTCATCCTGCTCGGAGTTTGGTGAACTTCTTGAACGTACTGATTAGTATCTTTTATTGGTTTCTATCATGCTCTTCAGAATTCTTCCAGTCTTCACCCACTGCCCAATTCCAAAGCTACTTCCACATCTTCAGGTATTTGTTACAGTAACACCCCACTTCCAGGTACCAAAATCTGTGTTAGTTCCCTATTGCTGCTGTAACAAATTACCACAGACTTAGTGGCTTAAAACAATACAGATTTATTAACTTACAGTTCTGGAACCGTAAGTCTGAAACAGGTTCAACTGGGCTAAAATCCAGGTGTCAACAGGGTTGTTTTCTTCCTAGTCTCTGATGGAGAATCTGTTTCCTTACCCCTCCAGCTTCTAGAAGCAACTTACATTCCATTGTTCATGGCCCCTTCTTCAAAGACAGTAGCACAGCATCTTCACGTCTGTCTCTGACCCTGACCTTTTCATCCTTCAAACGAATTAGCAAAAAGTGGTCCAGCTACAACCGTGGCTTTTTGTCCAGAGTACCTGTTCCTGACAGTGAAATCTCTTACTTTAGTATCTTTTGTAGTCTGGACAGATTGAGAATTTCCTAAATATCAATTTCTGATTCTTTTTTGCTTAAGAGTTCTCCCTCAGTCTATCACTTTCCTCCTGCATGTTTACTACAAACAGTAAGAGACCAGGCTATATCTTCCAGCAGTTTCCAAAGTGTCTTTGGCAGACTGAGGTCCTCTGGGGGACTTATGGAAGATCACTACAAGAGAATCAGTGTAAATTCTTGGATTTTGAGACAATGCCAGTCCTTCTTCCTCAGATAACTGTTCTCCATTGTGTAAACAGCTGTTAGATTATTACTGGGCTCTGGTAGATTTTGAGTATTTGGCCACGTGCACTAGGTTGCCACATGACCTGTCTATCATGAACTTGTGCCCTCTGACCCTCCAGTTTGTAAACTTGGCATGTACATTAGTACTCAATTATCAAGAGGAGGTATAAATACAAGATTAGCTTTGAGCTACTCCTGAAGGTACACAAGACTCAAAATATGAACTCAGATTCCCGTGACCCCTGTTGCTAATACAGTGGCGCTCCTCCTCAATACACGTGGCTCCGTGGGGAATCTCCTATGACCAGCTGTCTGAAAGAGGAAAGACGTGGTTCACAGATAGTCTTATTCCATATGCCAGTACCTCCTGAAAGTGGATGACTGCTGCCTTAGAGGCTCATTCAAAGGTGTCCTTTGAAGGTTAACAGGGGAAGGTCAATCCTACCAGTAGGCAGAACACCAAGCAGTGAATCCACTTGTTTATTGGTCTGAAAGAGATGACCAGGGGAAAGTATCTGCATTGATATATGGCTGGTGGGTAATAGCTTGCTTGGATACTTAGGGTTTTAGAAGGAAGATTAGAAAATTGATGACAAGGAATTCTGAGGAGATTTGTGGCTAGCCTTCCCAGAGTGGAGCATATTTGTTTCCCATGTGAATGTTTACTGTGATGATTAATTTTATGTGTCAACTTGGTTGGGCCACAGTGTTCAGATATTTGGTCAAACATTATTCTGGATGTTTCTATGAGGCTGTATTTTACTAGATTAACGTTTAAATCAGAGGATTTTGAGTGAAGCAGATTGTGCTCCATAATGTGGGGAGGCGTCATCAGTTGAAGGCTTTAATAGAACAGAGGCTGACTCCCCCAGCAAGGAGGAACTCTGCCTGCAGACAGCCTTCATACTTGAACTGCAACATTGTCTCTTACCTAGGTCTTCAGCTTGCTAGCCTGTCCTGCAGATTCTGGACTTGCCAGCCTCCATATATACATTAGCCAATTCCTTAAAATAAATCAATCTCTCTGTCTGTCTGTCTCTCTCTCTGTCTCTCTCTCTCTCTCTCTCACACACACACACACACACACACAATTGGTTCTGTTTCTCTGTAGAACCCTGTCTAATATAGTTACCAAAGGGCATTCACTGCAAAGGAGGCACTCAGTAATCAAGTAGTCAAAATGAGCCTGTCTCTTGATATCAGTCTTTTTCCTTAGCTACTCCAGTTCTCATTCAATGGGCTTATCAACACAGTAGTCAAGATGGCAAGCATGGAAATTATGTATGAGTTCAACAACATGGACTTCTCACTGAAGCTGACCTAGCTCTGGCTTCTGTTGAGTGCCCAGCTTGTCAACAGGAGAGAGCAGAAGTGAGCCCTTGATATAGTACCATTCCCTGGGGGAACATCCAGCCATCTATCTGATAGTGGGTTGATTATATTGTATCTCTCGTTTTATGGAAGAGATAGCTTTTGTTCTTATTCTGGATATGGATTTACTTTTACTGTCTACGGTGCTTCACCATCACCACCTATGAACATAACTGAATGCCTTATTTATCATTGGGTTATTACATACAGTATTGCATTATCAAGGAACTCATTTTGCCTCCAAAAATTGTTGTAGTGGGCTTATGTCCACAGAATTTACTGATCTTTTCATGAACCTTATCATCCCACAGCTGGCCTGAGAGGATGATGAAATGACATACTGAGACTCAGTTGGAGTACCTGTTAGGGGAAAACACTGTGAGGCTAAGGTGCTGACCCACAAAGTGTGGTTTATCTTCTGAACCAGTGACCCAATATATGGTATCACTTCTGCTATCCCAGAATACTCAAATCTGTGAACCAAAGAGTAGGATTAGGAGGGTTTTTTCTGTTACCTCAAAGAGTCCACTTAGAAAGTATTTTTGCTTGCCTCTCACCTAGACAAACAAACAGAAAATTGGCTTACACATAATTAGTTCCCAAAGGAAAAAAGCTTCCAACAAGGGGACACATAGAAGGGAAACTAGGAATTGAGATTAACATCTGGCCACTTTGTGCCTTTGAACCAACAGACAAAGGAGGAGGATTCTGTACAAGGTCCGGGTGATTGATCCAGTCTGATCCTTATTATTTCCTTAATATATGGATATAATAAAGAAAAAAATAGGTTTCCTATTACTCATGGGAGGATGTTATGTTGGGAACCCAGGGGATCCTCTGGCCTTTTTGGTAGTCCCATGTCTAGTAACAAAAGATAATGGAAAACAATCCAGTGCCATCAGGGTCACTAATAGTATAGACCCTTGAAAGTATGGGTCATCACACTAGGCAAAAAACCATAGTCAGTAGAGAGGCTGGCTGAGGACAAGGGGAACCAGGACTGGGTGGTAGAATAAGATGATAAATCCCAAATACAGCTATTGACCAGTCACAGAAATGGAAGTCCATAATAGCCATATGTATTTTCCTCGTTACTTTGGTATATTTATTTTATATATTAAGCAATTTTTTTCATCCTCTTCTCACTTTCTTATCAGCCAATATACAGTTGATGGAAATTTCGGTTCTTTCTGCTTTTGGGCTGTTGTGACTAATGCTTCCATGAATATTTATCTACCAGTTTTTGTGTGGGGATTTGTTTTCACTTCTCTTGGCCATATACCTAGTTTTATGGAATTGCTGGGTCATACGGTGACTTTGTGGTAAATATTTTGAGGAACTGCCGAACTATTTTCCAAAGTGACTGCGTTATTTTACATTCCTATGTACAATGTATGAAATTTCCAATTTCTTGCTATTTCTTATTACTATCTTTTTGATAGCCATCCTAGTAGGTAAAAAGTGTTTTTTTTTAATTTGCATTTCCTTAATATATGATGTTGAGCATCTTTTCATGTGGTTATGGGCCACCTGTATATCATCTTTGGAGAAATGTCTGTTCATGTCCTTTGTCCATTTTAAAATGTGTCTTTTTATAATTGGTCATTTGTCTTTTTATTATTGAGTTGTAGAAGTTCTTTATATATTCTGGATGTAAGTGCCTTATCAGATTTATGATTTGCAGCTATTTTCTCTCATTGAGATGTCTTTTCACTTTTTTAATAGTGTCTTTCAAAGCACAAAACGTTTTAATTTTGATGGAGCTTAATTTATCTGATTTTTTTTCTTTCATTGTTCATGGTTTTGATGTCATATCTAAGAAGGGTTTGTGCAACTCAAGGTACTGAAGATTTACTATGTTTTCTTCTAGGAGTTTCAAAGTCATAGCTAGCTAGAAAGTTTAAGCCTAGGATCCATTGGAACTTATTTGGGGGGAAGAAGGAAGAGGTCCAACATTCTTTTAGCATGTAGATATCTAGTTGTCAAAGCAGCATTTGTTGAAAAAAGTTCTTTATATATTCTATACATAGTTGTCTCTTAAATATTACTAAATCAGAGTTTCTACCTTATAAGATGTGAGCATTAAATGAAATAACATGTATGAAAGTGTCTAGCATCATGCAGGGTAGTTGGCTCTCAACAAGGTCTTGGCATTCTTGTCCAAAATCAATTGGCCATAAATATGATTTACTTCAGGACTCTGAATTCTGTTCTATTGATCTGTCTATCCTTAGGCCAATACCACACTGTCTTCATTACTAAAGCTTTGTAGTAAGCCTCGAAATTGGGGAACGTGAGTCCTCCAACTTCGTTCTTCCTTTTCAGAATTGTTTTGGCTAATCTGAATCTCTTTTATTTCCATATGAATTTTAGGATCGGCTCGTATATCTCTGCCAAAAAAAGCCAGCTGAGGTTTCGATAGGGATTGTGTTGAACTATAAATCATTTTGGGGAGTATTGCCATCTTAACAATATTAAGTCTTCTGAACCATGAATGTGGGTATTTTTCCACTTAAGTCTTCTTTAGTTTTCAGAATATTGGTTTTTATTCTTGAGTTTAAAAGGAAGTCTTTTGCTATTTTTTATATATATACATATTTTAATTTTAGAGGGACTACGGAATGCATATAATGCAGGGGAAAAACCGAAGTTATTGACTCTATTGATAATTACAATCTTACTAGAAATGTGAATAAATATATCTTTATCCATATGTTTCACTCTTATTTTTACTTTTTGTAATTATTTTAAGAAGTAGATTTAGTGTGAGTGATTCTAAAACTCAATTTAGGTATAAAATTATAAATAGCATGAAAATAATTAGGTATCTTTGTAATTATCACTAGTGTGTATTAAAGTCATTATGTTAAAAAATTCTTGTGATAGTATTACTGAGTGAACTCAATTATCATAAAATCCTTTTGGACTTTGACAAGTGAGGACATTATTCTAAGTTTCCACTGGTGAACACAACCAATGAAATTTTCTATCTTTCTAGTATCTTCCTGGTTTCATTTGCTGTCTACTCAATATAGTTTATTATTTCCTTCTTATACTTTAAGATCTCTTTAGCAGAAACAATTGAATGACCATCTAAATAAAGCCACCAAATTATAAAAAAGGAGGAAACAAACGGTAAGATATAAAAGACACCAAAAGCACAGTGCTGATAGTGAAAATGCTGTTTCTAACTTGAAGATAAAAAGAGCTTTCCATGCCTTTTCAGTTTTCAGTTTTTCTTTTCCTTATTTTGTAAGAGACTTCATGGAAGGAAAAAGAAGGGGAAGAAGGGTTCTAGTCAGGATTACAAATGAAATATACCTAGATACGATTTGAGAAGTATGTATTTGAGAAGCTTAGTTTGTTAATGTATTCAACTCCTAAATCTCTATACTGTTTTCATGAAATTTTATTCTCTGGATTGTTGTTTAAAGGTTAGATATAATGGCCAGGGTCACAGGAAAAATCAAATGATTAGAAAATCGGAGGTTTTTAAAAAGTATCATTAGCCTGAGTAGGACAGCATCATGGAAAGTGAATGACTTCGGGGTCTTGTTTAATACTCTCTCTCTTAGCGTGTATGTTGGAAATAGCATACTGTTTTAAATCCATGTGTAGAGTTTATTTCTCAGTTAAATCAACAAATAAGGTAATTAATCATATTGACTACAGGACCCTCCTCCTCAGCCTCATTGTGAGGAAGTTATATGTAATCCTGGTTTATTTTGCTTGTCCCTCAGATTCTAACGGTAGAATTAACCCTGGGCGAATTGCTTACATTTCTTCGAGGAGCTGCTCTATTCCAGATGAGAGCTATGGTTGCCTATCTTCAAACATTCCTGCGTTGGAATTGATGGCTCTATATGTGGCAGCTGCCATGCATGATTACGATCACCCAGGGCGGACGAATGCGTTTCTAGTGGCTACAAATGCCCCTCAGGTAGGAAATGACTTCTTCAGAAAGTTTTAAGGGTGATTCTCAAATTTTACAGCCATGCTGTATTTCCCTTTGTTGAGTCACTTGGCCTTTAGGTACATGGATAATAACCATGACGTTGATACCATATATGCTAAAGCATTAGAGAAAAATCACCTCCTTCAACAAGAAAATAAATAACATGTTCCTGAAAGAGTAACTTGCTGTTTATGAAATACTGGAGTCCATGCTGTTAGAATCTTTGCCTTTGATCAAACTGATAAGACTTTGACTAGTGGTAAGACTTTTCCTTCTGGTAAGATCTTTCGTATGGCTAAAAACTATAATGATTGAGGACTATTGTTATTTTTTGTTGTTTTCCTCCTCTTTTTTCCCATAAGATGTACTATGATGTGCAGACTCTTAAGTCTCTTAGCTCTGCAAATATTCATATGTGTATATATATAAAATCTTCTAGTACCACATTATTTTTGTATCCAGTACAGCTGATAAGGTGCAAGATTCCTTTAGGGTTACCATTTGCATAAGAAGTAGGAGTTCCCAGCAAATGGATACTCTAAGTATAATGGCTTTAAACATTAGGACTTGGAACTAAATACAGTCAGCCCTCCATATCCAGGGATTCTGCCTCCATGGATTCAACCAATTGTGGATCAAAAATATTTGAAAATAAAAAAATTCCAGAAATCTCCAAACAGCAAAACTTGAATTGCTGCACACCACAACTATTTATGTTGTATTAGGTCTTATAGGTAATCTAGAGAAGATTTAAGAATACAAAGGATGTGCATAGGTTATATGAAAATACCAGGCCATTTTATGTAAGGGATTTGAGCATCTGTAAGGGTCCCAGAACCAATTCCTTGCAGATACCTAGGGATGTCCACACTTGGTTTTAGTTAGAATTTAGTGTGGTTGTGGGTGTTTGTTTGGGCTGGTGATTCCTGAAGTGTCAGCCTTGTATTTCTGCCTGCCTGCCTTAACAAAAAGTAAGTTGTCAACGACTGTTTGCTGAATTCATCTTACTTCCTCGCTTTGTTGTTCTATGTTCAAACCTCAGTTCTGGTTCTTTCATCTTTTATAGCCATTCTCTGTGTTCCTCTTCTCATTTCTTCCCTTTCACACACTCCCACTATTTAAAATATAGCCGGTAGATTCTCTAGCCAGAGTAAAAACAAGATTCAGAGAGAGGATTAAAAGTGCTATGTGATTCATTTTCTCCAATTAGATTCATTGGAGAAGTATTCATATTCATAGCCCATGATTTCCACAGGTAACTTTTAAACAAATTTCGATCTAGATACTATTTTTCCACTTTCTAAGAATTGCTTTGGAAGAAATTACCCACTAACAAGTGCACATCTCCTCAGTTGCAGTATCATTTGGCAAGAATCACATACCCATTTCCTCTAGCCTAGCATTTCATAACCTTTGAAAATCCAAGTCCTGTGGCAAGTCCCAGACCCGGGTAGTAGTTGCATAGTGGAAAAAGCACTGGTCTTAGGATCAAGAGTTTGATTTCTGGTTACTGAATATTAGCTGTGTGACATTAGGCAAGTAACCCTTATCTTTCTGAACTTCAGAATATATACCTGATATGACTAAGCAGAAAAAGAGGTAACATTTGGGAAGTTTTCTGCTGAATCAGTTATCATTTAGACAAAAACTATTTACTATTCTATCCCAACCGCTGCTTTCATTCTCTTTTATTAGTTTGAGTATAGGTGAGTCATACTTGTTTATTACTTCATGGTCAAGGATATTACAAGTGAGTGAATTCTAGTGTTATTTGTCTTGCTTGCATGCAGATAATTTAAAACAATGACACATGAATATAATTTATGTAAGTTATATACTCAAAACTGTTGTCCTGATCAAATTACGAATGTGAAGTCTGGACACAGCCAGTAACCATGTTTACTTCTAACTTCTCATTGTTAAGGACTGCCAGGAAATGAAGCAATGGGAAGGGAAGGGATGGAAAGAAAACTGATCAGAGATCAGCTGTGAAAAAGTATCATCTTCTACCCAGTCTCCTTGCTTACTTTCTGCTCCCCATCAGTTTGGTTTCAACACAAAGCAGCCAGAGTGGCCCAGTTTGAATGTGCATTATTTTACTCTGTGTTCTGAGTCCTCACTCTTAGTAAAAGACAGTCAGTACAGTGGCTCAGAGGCCCTACAAGATTGAGCTTCCATTAATTCTCCTTTTTTAAATTCACTCAGGTCTACCCTGCTGGCCTCCTTGCTATTTCCTTCTATGTTCTGGGCACACTCCTGTATGGAGAACCTGGGCACTTCCTGTTCTCTGTCCCCACAGTGCTCTTTCCCCAGACATCTATAAAACTCATTTTGTCACCTCTTTCCAGCTAAAATTTCAAAAGCCCCTCCCTGGCATTCCTTCTCTGCTTCATTTTTTCCATAGCAGTGATCATTTAACATACTGTGTCTTTTGCTTGTGTATTCTGTTGTCCACATGCCTCTCCTTGGTGGAATGTAAGTTTCCATGAGGGCAGGCAGGGGTTTTTATCTGTCTTATTCTCTAATACCTAGAATGGTGCCTAGCCCACAAAAGGCATTCAGTAAATATTTGATGAATGTTGAAGGATGTCTTATTTCTTTGCTCTGCAGGACTGCCAAACTTGTCTGAAATATTCTGTTCTTCCCAGAGTAATGAACTTCATGAGTCCTTCTTCAGCGCCTGTGAGATAAGGACTCCTGTGAAAGCCTGAGGCTTAACCTGTTTATTATGTAATAAAGCAGGCTCTCTCATGTTGGGAAGCTCAATAGGACTAATCAGGCCACAATTAGTGAAAGATATTATTACTCCTCCAGTGTATGATGAAAAGCTTAGCAGTGTAGAATACCACCAACTGAATCAAGCATTCTGCATTCTCGTGGTAAGGGAAGTGTGCGGGAAGACTTAGGAGGGTTATTTTTAATCCTTGCCATGAAAGGTAAAACATTTAGTAGGTTTATCCTGGAGGGATGTCAGTATTAAAATTCAAGAGATTTCTGAGCTACTTCCAATTGAAAGGTTGGTGAAAGATGGAGATTAGTGCCTGAGATATTATAGTTTGTAGAATATTTTGATTTGGGGTAAAAGGAAACAAAACCTTTTTAAGCTGAGAATTGTAGATCTGAGATAGTCATAGATGTTTGTCTGCCCAAATACGGATCAAGACGGTGACTAAACCTGTGCATTTGTCTCCCCTTCCTGCTGACTGAAATAATAGTAAGGGATGAAGAGAGGAGTACATTACAACAGAGAGGAGTAGGTGGGAGGGTATTATCACCAGTAGACTAAAGAATTTCATACTGTTTCTGGAAAATGGAAAACATATAGGCAAATATTAAGAGATTAAAGTAGACTAGAAGGGAGCTGCAGCCTAGGTGGAACCCTAGAAACTGGATGTCATTTACCCGTGTCTGCTCTGCACACACACATCCCCCATGTAACACACCACACACCTTTAAGCAAAGTCACTGCAACTCTTATTTACCGCCAGGCAGAAAACACATCTGTTAGATACTGAAGGAAGTGCCCAGGAGAGATTTAGTATACCAGGATAAGTCCTTCTCATTTTGGAAATCAGACTGGTAATTCTAAAGCAAAACCTGCTAGGTAAACAAGCCCCATCCACATGTACAGAGTTCCTGCTCATCCTTCCCAACTAAAGAGACTCAGCAATGAAACATTCACAAGGGCACTGGATGCATGCTGTGGGACAGGCACTATTCCAGGTATTATTATTGAACAAAACAGGCACCCCCAAAAATTCTGACCCCCATAGAACTTACATTCCAGTATAGGAGGAAAAACGATAAACAAATGTTTGTCTAAGTGACAGAGATGATTATGACATAAGTGCTAGGAAAGAAGTAAAATGGGGGAGGAGACAGGAAGGGCTGGCATAGACAGATTGTTTTCAAGTCAGAGCTCTGTATCCAGCTAAGCTACAGCTGAGTGTTAAGAGCAAAATAAAGAGGTCTCAGATACATAAAGATTTTTTTGAAAATCATGTCGCATCCATCCTGAGAAAGTTACATAAAAATGTGTTTAAGCAAAATAAGAGTGATAACTAAGATAAAGGGTCTTTAAAAAATACGGCATTACTAAATTTTAAAACCAGAACTTGAGGGTAAAGGAATCCCCCAGTGTCAGCTGTTCATGAAGACTTTTCTTTAAAGAGGAGGGCTTAAAAAAAATTAGCTGTGTTGTTTTCTGCAGTACCTGATTTGTTTACTACCTCTGTTGGACTTTTTAAAAAATTAGGAATATTATTTTTTTAATGAAAATGATCTTTCTTAATCCAGGATTTCTCACTTCAGAAATTAAGGTCTCTTCTTTACTCTTACGACTGTGACCTAGAGATTTTTTAATGCTTCCTCCTGTTTCTTTTGTTTCAAAAGGAGATGTGTTCAGATTTGTCATGCTCTTCCTGTTTAAGTCTGAATTTCATGTCTGAGGGGTTTTTCTTTTTGCTCACTCATTGAAAAGTGTTTACTATTTGTTAAGATTAATTCTGTCAGTTTGTGTTAAAAGTCTTTCTGACTCAGAGGGTAAAAAAGTTTATGATCAACTAGTTTGCTGTGCCATGTTAGAGATGTGTTTGCCTGTGAGATAAGGAAGGGATCCATAGCCAGAGAAAATTAAATAGCAAGATTCTTCAGCAAAAAGTGAAGGACGTTAGTCACTGCAGCTCTAAATTGGGGGTTAACTGTCTTTCTTCTCTAGTTGTCATGGTGCCCTCAGTAAAAGCCAGCTGAGGCCTCATTATCTGTTTTGCCTGGAAAGCTTTCCTCACCGTTTAAGCTTGGCTTGTTGCTCTGTGTGCCCCCATCCAGTATTCTTCCTAAAGGAGAATTGTGATTTACCTCCTCCTTACTGCTCCTTAATTCTTTCTTGCCATGAGGTGATGAGTTTTTGGGGGTCCAGCCGGCGATTCCTTACACTTATTCTCTGGGTGGGTTTTTTCCCTTCTTTTCTTATGCAATAACTAAGGTGGGCTTTCCAGTATGGTGATTATATCTAGCTTCTAATATTGATTCAAATTTTTTTTGCCCCCATTTTATATTTCTTTGATAATTTCAAAGGTTAAATAGGAATTTTTTTCTTCAGCGGAGGTACTGAGGATAGAACCCAGGACCTTGTGCACGTTAAGCACTTGCTCTACCACTAAGACATTACCCTCCCCCAGGAATTTTAAACTAATTTCTTTTACTGATCTCGCTAGCTGAGAGTTTAAGTCAGCTAGCTTTATAGGGCACTCATTATACATTGTGCTTTATTGAGCCAGGAGTTTGATTACTTCTTCCTGAAGTAGCTTATCAGTCTTCATCAGATTTAAGCATGAATTAGTTAAACCACTATTAAACGTAAGTTGACCCCTTAGGAAGTCTTTGAAGTTTAAGGTGTACAATGTTTTAATTGATACATATAGTATAATGTGGTTACCACCATAGTGATAGCTTACACCTCCATCACATCACATAATTATCTTTTTCCTATGTGTGGTAAGAACATTTAAGATCCAGTCTCTTAGCAACTTCCAAGTATATAAAACATTATTGTTAATTATAACCACAGTGTATATTATATCCCCAGAACTTGTGCATTTTCTGACTGCAAGTTTGCACTTAGTCCAACATTTCCCCGGTTCCCCCACCCCCACAGCCCTGGTAACCACTTAGTTCTATTGTTTCTGCGTTCAGTTTTAGTTTACACATATAAGTGATGTCACACAGCATTTGTATTTCTCTGACTTACCTCACTTAGCATAATGCTGTCAAGGTCTATCCATGTCTACCAAATGGCAAGACTTCCTTCTTTCTCATGACTAAAAAATATTCCATTGTGTGTGTGTCTCTCTCTCTATATATATCTCTTCATTTGTTTACTTGTCTTTTCATCCATTGATGGACATAGATTGTTTCCAGCCTTTGTATGGCCCTCTGCAAAGTTTAAATTATATCACTGCTTAGATAGAATCAAATGATGTAAAAACACAATCAAATGGTGTCTATGCTTAAATCTAGACAATAGGTGATTTTCACAAGTATGTAAAGTGATTTAATTAGGCTCAGAATATGCATCTTAACTGAGATTGCACTATAGTTTTTATCTGTTCTTTTCCACTAGACGGGAAGCTCTGAAAATAAGGACAGGGTTGCGTTTTTATCCTCAGTCTTTAGCACCAGCTGTGAGAGTTCTTTTAGTAATTACTATGCTTATTCAATAATTTTAAAAGTTGCTTACTTGTTAGAGGTGGAAGAAGCTTTAAAAATTCTATAATCTTTAATAATTCAATAATACAGGTCTTTAAAATCTGTATTCCCAAATCCTAGACTACTGAGCAGGTACCTCAGGGTCTTCCACTGGAGTGGAGAAAAAGTGAATAGATCTACACCACTTGAACCAGAGGACTTGTGCTTCTACCTGTTTGATAGGTCTTGACTCCCAAGCACTGAGTCAGGGTTGGAAGTACAGATGTGCCCTTCTCATACATGTGGGTCTCGTTCACCTTCCATCAGCACCAGCGTTCATTCCATGCTGGCTAAAGAACAGTAAGGTATCCTTAAACCGGCTCTCTCTATCCCTAATGACTTTATTAACAGAAGATTCATCTGAGAAGAGTTACTGATTTAATGAAGACGACCTCAAATATCAACTTTACATCTCTTGGTAGGCAGCGTGGTATCTGCAAAAAAGATAAAATTTAGAGACAAATTACCCTTTCGCTTACTAGCTGTGTATGCTGGAAAGATGTACCTTATCCTCTTTTGCACATCAGTCTACTTGTTTACAAAATTGTATCAACTCTTCTTCACAGGTATTAAAATGCCTGGCATGTAGTAGGTACTTATTGTATCCTTCCAACCTGATCCTAACTCATAACTTTATTATTAAAGTTCAGTATCTTTGAGATGCCTGCCTCATTTTTCTTGTTCCTTTTTAGGCAGTTTTGTACAACGACAGATCTGTTCTGGAAAATCATCATGCTGCATCAGCCTGGCATCTGTATCTTTCTCGCCCAGAATACAACTTCCTTCTTAATCTTGATCACGTGGAATTCAAGCGCTTTCGTTTTTTAGTCATTGAAGCAATCCTTGCCACAGATCTTAAAAAGCATTTTGATTTCCTTGCTGAATTCAATGCCAAGGTTTGTTATGCAAATTAATTCCTGATTTCAAGAGTGGAAATCACTGTCTGCATCACTGTATTAGTTATTACAGTAAATATTACAGCATTTTAATGTTAAATTAGAATACCACTCATAAAGTTGTGATAAATCTAATGTAAGACAATATATATGCCAAGATTTAAAAAAATAAAACATTATTATAACATGCCCAAAACTACAATTGCTTGCTACATTTCCTTTCTGATACACTTATATTGTGACTTTCTTTCACACAATGACCAACGAATTATGTCAACTGAAGCTTTTAGAGGCAGAATTGAGAATGCTGTGCACACTGCCAAGTGAGGCATTTTACGATGTTGAAGATGTGTTTCTGAGAAGCCAGTTACGCCTACTTTGCGGCACCTGTTACCATTCTTTATGTTATTAAGTGTTTAGCTGGCTGGTAGCATTGGAGAGTACTTGACAATAATGCACTCACTGAACTACTGTTTATTGGGGTTGCCCACTGCCTGCAATCATTGTGCTCAAGAAGAATAAGGAATGAACAGGTCAAAGTTTCTGCCCTCAGTGAACTCACATTCACCATGGAATTGAGAATCATTGCCCTCATGTGATGGTGGTACTAATGGGAGTGTGTTTTATGCCTCAGACATCGGGGTGAAAAAGAGTTGAGAACCATTGTTTTGGTTCCTGAGGGAAGGATGTCCCATCTTTTACAGGCAGGAAGCTGCTGTTTTCTTGGTGACATTTGTGTCCTAAAGGAAGGTGTACCTTCAGGGTAGAGGAATGGGTATCAAAGGAGTACTAGATTTGACTCACTGGAAGGAGACTTATATGTTGCATTTTATCACTATTACAACAGCTTAAAAAAATTAGCAAAAAACCAGTATGCCCTTAAAATTATTTCATAGTTATACAGCTCTATTTTATTTTTACTTAATAAAAGTTTAAGTGCGTAAGTAAGTTAGAATAAATAAAAGTTTTTACAAGTGAAAGATTAGCCCAAAGCTTTTGAATCTCTGTTCCTCAGAGACTTCTATTCTGTAGCCTCAAGAAAATGCCATATGAGTGGGACTCTAGATTACACCGTTTCAGTCAAAAGAGCCTTTCTTTTTAACTATTTTCTATAGTGGTGGTCTACATAAAATTACCTTTGATCAGAGGGTTGGGTGCCAAAAAATCTACCATCACAATAAAGTTCCAAAGCCACTAATCTGGCCCATTCACTCTATCTGTTACAGGAGCAAATTTGAGTTCTTCAAAGACATAGTGACTTGCCTGATAATTAACATTTAAGTAACAATGTTAGCATTTACTATGAACCATACATTTTTCTTTTGTTAATGGAAATTTGGCTAGATTGATATTACTTTTCCTATTTTTATAGATGAAGAAAGATTGACTCAGGGAGCTTAAGTAGTATTTCCAGTGTTAGAATGATTTACTAATTCATTGAGTCAGGATTTAAAATCATAGAGACCAGCTTCTAAGACTTGTGTTCTTTCAACTGTATCATGTTGCCTTTTATAGCTAAAGCAAACTTCTTAAGTGTTCCTTTTTGAGGTAGAAATCGTTAAAATTCTTAAATGATTTGTTTTTGTGTGTGTGTATATATATATATATGTACACATACTTATATATTTTATATGATGCACTTTATATATTAATATATTTGTGTATTTTATATATTAATATATGTCTAATATATGTATAATATGCACATATATTAATAACATATTATATATTTATAATATATAATATACATAAATTACAATTTTCTATGGTAATCACAAATATAGGAACCTATGTTTTGTTTTGTTATGCTTTTACAGGGCCCCACTTCCATTGACAAAATTATGACACTTCAAAGGGAAATTTAACCCACAGATACATGTTATGATACAAACCAATTAAAAGAAGCATTTACTGAAATTCCTTCCTGTCATTTGGACAGGAAACAGTTTTAAGATCATTTGGTTAAAAGCAAACACACAAACGAAAACACAACAAAACTCCTGTGCCCTCAGCACCTAACATAATTTTCTTTTTCCAAACTAGGCCAATGATGTAAATAGTAATGGTATAGAATGGAGTAATGAAAATGATCGCCTCTTAGTATGCCAGGTGTGCATCAAACTGGCAGATATAAATGGTCCAGCAAAAGTTCGAGACTTGCATTTGAAATGGACAGAAGGAATTGTCAATGAATTTTATGAGCAGGTAAGTAGAAGCATGAGATTGGTGGGATTTTTAAGAGCAAGTCAATCTGAAGTCACTACTCTTTGGGATTTGGATAACTACACTAAATGCTTGAAATCTGAGTTGCTTTGACCAAAAGTGGTTAGAAATTGTTGCATTTACTCTGGTCTTAGTATTTTCTCAGCTCTTTTGCCTTTGTTGCTAAAATTTTAAAACAATAAAAACTAGCTTGTTGTCTATCTGAAGTAGGTTGAATATATTCAAGGCTAGTGCTGAGGACAGACCACATTATGATTCTAAGGTCCTCTTGAACCCCGAGAGCCTATAACTAAGGATAATTTATTTCTAAAAGTTATTGAACTGATTCAGAGTATACTTAAATTTTTAAAATATCAACCCATTTTAAACTCTACTATAGAAAGACTGCCTTAGAAACATCAACTGGGTAAAAGTCCTGGCAGCGGGTAAGAAATCAGAGCTAAAATCTTAGTGATAATCTTGGAATACTTTTCTCTGATACATTTGAACTAAATTATATATAATTAAGGTAATAAATGGTTATAAATATTTACCTAATTTGTGAATTGCAGTACATATAGTAGGTTTGCATAGTCTCATCCTCATTCTCAAAGGTAACTGAATAGAACAAATAATCCTAAAATTTATATGGAATCACAAAAGACCCATAATTGCCAAAGAATTACTGAAGAAAAAGATGAAGCTGGAGGAATACCCCCCCCTAGACTTCAGACAATACTACAGAGCTACAGTAATCAAAAAAAGCATATTATTGCTACAAAAACAGACATATAGATTAATGGAACAGAATAGAGAGCCCAGAAATACACACATAAACTTTTGGTCAATTAATCTTTGACAAAGGAGGCAAGAACATACAATGGAGTAAAGACAGTCTCTTCAGCAAATGGTGTTGGGAAAACTGGACAGCTGCATGTAAATTAATGAAGTTAGAACACTCCCTCACACAATATACAAAAATAAACTAATGGCTTAAACACTTGAACATAAAGACAAGACGCTATAAACCTCTTAGAAGAAAACATATAGGCAAAACATTATCTGACATAAATCTCAGCAATGTTCTCCTAGGACAATCTACCCAGGCAATAGAAATAAAAGCAAAAATAAACAAATGGGACCTAATTAAACTTATCAGCTTTTGCACAGCAAAGGAAACCATAAGCAAAACAAAAAGATAACCTACAGAATGGGAGAAAATATTTGCAAAAGATGAGGCTGACAAGGGCTTAATTTCCAGAATATATAAACAGCTTATACAACTTAAGAAAAAAAACCAAACAACCCAATCCAAAAATGGGTGGAAAACCTAAATAAGCAATTCTCCAAGGAAGACATACAAATGGCCAATTGGCACATGAAAAAATGCTCAATATTCCTAATTATCAGAGAAATGCAAGTCAAACTACAATGAGGTTATCACCTCACACCAGTCAGAATGGCCATCATTCAAAAGTCCACAAATGATAAATGCTGAAGAGGGTGTGGAGAAAAGGGAACCCTCCTACACTGTTGGTGGGAATGTAGTTTGGTGCAGCCATTATGGAAAACAGTATGGAGATTCTTCAAAAGACTAAAAATAAACTTACCATATGATCCAGCAATCCCAACCCTGGGCATGTATCCAGAGGGAACCTTAATTCAAAAAGATACATGCACCCCAATGTTCATAGCAGCGCTATTTATAATAGCCAAGACATGGAAGCAACCTAAATGTCCGTTGACAGATGACTGGATAAAGAAGCTGTGGTATATTTATACAATGGAATACTACTCAGCCATAAAAAATAATAAAATTTTGCAGCATCCATTTGCAGCAACAAATGGATGGACCTGGAAATTGTCATTCTAAGTGAAGTAAGTCAGACAGAGAAAGAAAAATACCATATGATATCACTTATATGTGGAATCTAAAAAAAAAAGACATATGAATGTATTTATAAAACAGAAACAGACTCCCAGACATAGAAAACAAACTTATGGTTACCTGTAGGGGAGGGAGTGGGAAAGGATAAAGTGGGAGTTCGAGATTTGCAGACACTAATATATGTAAAATGGATAGGCAACAAGTACATACTGTACAGCACAGGGAACCATATTCAATGTCTTGTAGTAACTTATGGTGAAAAGGAATATGAAAATGAATGTTTGTATGTTCCTATATGACTGAAGCACTATGCTGTACACCAGAAATTGACACAACATTGTAAAATGACTATACTTCAATAAAAATATGAAAAAAAAAAGAAAAACAAAAACAAAAAAGGTAACTGAAGCCTGTTTCTGGCTTCAGTTCATGTTCACCAAGGAATTTTATGCTAAGGAAATGCTGCCTTTATATTATCTGTACCAAGAGAGATAATAAGAAGGTGCTAGTATATACCAATTTTAGAAAACTCACTAATTCAGTGAAAGAGTATTAGAAAATTTCATTTAGACCCATTTTATAATACATTTTTAAAGTACAGAGAATTAATTCTTACCAAATAAACTTAGAAGCCATGCCTGAGGTTCGAATCCTGGCTCCTCTTTGTTAGCAGCAGTGTGACCTTGGGCAAGTTACTTAACCTCTCTGTGCCTCAATTTCTTCATTGAGAAAATAGGAATATTGATGGCAGCTCATAAGGCTGCTGTGAGGATTAAATGAATTAATTTATGTAAAGTTCTTAGAACAGTTCCTGACACATAACTGCTCAATAAATAAGATCACTAAAAATATATTTCAGTTTCACCTAATCTTTCTAAGATTCATTATTCATATGTCAAACGGGAAAAATGTCATCTGACACCCTACCACACAGAGTTGTCATGATGGTTAAATGTACCAATCTACATGAAAAGTCTCAGTCCACCCTCTTCAAAATGATTAATTTCCTTCTCAATCTCATTATGCTATTGAACATCCTTCAGATATGGACAAAAATTTCTCACCTTGCCCAACGTTTTACCCTTTTATTATCATAATTGTGTAATCTTTGTACTTCTATAGCCATTTATGTGCCGTGGGCTTAGAAAAGCCAAGCTCCTATTTTAAAAAAAAAAAAAAGCCAAATCTATGAAACTGTTGAATCCTGTAACAGTTTTTTTTAAAAACATTAATAATTCTCTTCTTCACAGAAGATAAAGTCACATAAGATTTTTAATCAGAGGACAGTTTCTGGTTGTCTCCTCAGGGCTGTCTTGACTTAGCACAGACAGGCACTGCTTGCCTGCAGAATTTGTGCACCAGGGAAGTATTCACTCCCTACCAGTTCAGACACCCGGCACTAAAACGTTAACAGTACCACTTGGGGACTGCTCAACATTTTATATAATACTGCTTTTCATCTTCACAGCACATCTATAGATTATTACTCAAATATTACACGTGAATTGAGTATAGAGCTTGCCAAACACCACACAGGTGGTAGGTGGCAAAATCAGGTTTTGCAACCACATCTGTCTGAACTCCAGCTGTGCTCTCCAGAACCCTGGAGACCACAGTGGGAGGGTGTCCCTGGGCCCAGATCCTCACCTCAAGCATAGTAGCTCTACTTCTGTCTGTTTTTACATATTGAGTTTTCTGATTTAGATTCATTAAACGGTTCTACCATTACAAAAAAAGGGGAAAGGCAAAAGGAGGGGGTTGAAAGGCATTTACATAATTCAACTCTGTACATTCAATGTAAAACTACAGCAATAAACCTTTTTCCATTATACAATCTACCCCTAAGAGAAAGAGGCTCTATATTTAATTACAGAATCTTGGTAATTTATATAGAATTTATATATTCTATTAAAATATAATTTTTGTTTATTAGTAAATTTGCTGACACATTTTAAAAGATGTGTATTTTTCTTGTTACCTAAATATCAACCATACTTGTTGACTGGGAGTGTGAAACTAATGTCTAGTTTTGGATTTCTGAAATATTAGAGAAATTCTTACAGTTGGAATGACAGTAATTAGATTCATTGATACATCTTTGTAAAAATTTTGAGGTAGACTGTGCTCATTTAAAAAAACCTCAAGATAATTTTAACAGCAAAGCTCAACAGTTAAAGATGTACTTTTCTCTTTAATATGATCAGGGAGATGAAGAATCAAATCTTGGTTTGCCCATCAGTCCCTTCATGGATCGTTCTTCCCCTCAACTAGCAAAACTCCAAGAATCTTTTATCACCCACATAGTGGGTCCCCTGTGTCACTCCTATGATGCTGCTGGTTTGCTACCGGGTCAGTGGATAGAAGCAGAAGAGGACGATGAAACTGAAAGCTGCTATGAAGAAGATGGTGAAGAATTAGATACAGAGGATGAAGAAATTGAAGACAACCTAAATCCTAGTAAGAATACAGGGATACTGTCATTTCTTTAATGTTATTAACTGCAAATGTCCATTTAATTGGGATTTAGATCTTTGTTTTTACAGATTCAGTAGTTATATCTTAAGTAACGACTATCTAAACATTAATATTGAATAGCCTCATTTTGACTAACTACTGTTTGGGTGCCCTGCTAATGCTGCCACACAACAAGCATCCTTAGCTGAAGCAGCATCTCTGGAGGTGCTGGGCTCTCCCTGTGCATGCATGCTGGGGCTGCCACCAGAACACAGTGCATGTGAGGTGACTGGGCCCTGGTGGCTAGTCCCCCCTGCCTGACCCCTCCTCACACCGCTCTCCTGTCTGTCAACATGCCCTTCATATAGACTTAGGAAATAGTTCAGCACAGCTGGGAGAAGTGGAAAACCACATATTCCCTGACTGAGAGGAAAACCAAGTTGTGTGGCATTATGGCTTTGAACTTCCAAACTGTAATGCATAGTTATATAAAGCAATGAGTATAAATGGAAAATGAAAAAGAAATGTTATCTTTGTAACTATAAATGAAGTCAGTTATTTGCTTTTTAAAGTAGTATTTAAATTACATCTAGCTAATTATTTTTGTTTCCCAAGCATGCTATAAATCAGAACAGATAACTACAAAGAACTCCCTCCCACCCTACCTTGCATTCAGGATTAGCATAGTGAAGAGTAATCTTATGCCATTACCACCTGATGTCATTTTGGGAGAGTTGACCGGCTTTTAAAAATTATTTATACTTACCAAAATTGTGATAATTGTGCTTAATACATTTTTTAAAACCTCTTAAAATGTTGGTTTTTACTTTGCATTATTATTTATCACTTGAAATCTCAGTCCCAGCCTCCCTTCTCCCCCAACTCCCACCTCACCCAGTCTTCCCTAATCCTCTTCTCTATTTTTATCTATAACAACATCATCTAACCACATGCTTGTGTCTTGCTCCTTTGCTCATCTAGGTCTTCCCACCAGAAAGAGCGCTCCATAGTGCAGGGATATTTCAGTCTTATTATAACTATAACCCCTAGTAGTTAGATAAATGTCTGGAAAACAGCAGGCACTCAGATACTTATTGAATGATTGGATCATATTGCTATGATTAGAATACATGTGTTTTAAATTCCACAGAACCACAAAGGAGGAAAGGCAGGCGGCGAATATTTTGTCAGCTAATGCACCACCTCACCGAAAACCACAAGATATGGAAAGAAATAATAGAGGAAGAAGAGAAATGTAAAGTGGATGGGACTAAACTGCAGGTGGAGAATTCTTCCTTACCTCAAGGAGATGAGATTCAGGTCATTGAAGAAGCAGATGAAGAGGAAGAGAGACAGCTGGAATAAAAGAAAGGGCATAAGGCCCCAAGGGCTGCACCAGGTGGGGGAAGTCACTGCCTAGTGCTCACTGTGCTGACTCTGAAAGGACCAGACCGCTCCTCGGAGACAGGCCTTGACACTTTGAGAAGACCCTTGCTGTGCTGCCAGTGTCCCACTCTGGTGCACTTTCACCGCATGAACTAAAAACGTATCCACAGAGCTTGGCTTCAGACGACTTGTGTTGCCAAGCTCTTATTTAATGCCTTTACTGGTGTATAAATACTTTGTTGTAATACTGCTTTGCTGGCTAGAAGGCTCTTATTTTTCATGAGGGGGGAGCTATAACTAAAAACTCAAGTGACTTCAATTTCCAAAGTGGCCAGAACTTTTTTGCTTTCATGAAAACAGGATTCAAAACAAACAAAGAAACAGAAACAAAACAACACATACACCAAAAATAGGACTCATATTTCCAAATGTGTCTTTTATGTCTTGGGATGTTTTAGGAAGGAAAAAAAAAATCTGTGCCTATCTGAAAAAGAAATCCAGTGTTGCCTTGAGGTGTCTGTTCAATGCAAGTACAATGTTCAGTGCTGTTCTCCAGCTAGGTTTATCCATGAAGGACTGAGTAACCTTTGTTATATTTAACAAAATCCAGGTGCATCAATTTCTGATGCTTTTTACTGCTGTTACCTACCGTGTGTTCTTTCTGTTTGGGGTACTCAGGTTTGCTTTGGATGTCAGAAGTCTGAATTCCAGATTCATTGACTCTATATTCCATGGCTGAATTTTTAAAGGTGTTTAGTTTTAATAATGAAGGGATTTTATTCTTTAGTCAAAACTGTTCTTATTTTTACTCTTGCTCAGGATTAGTATTTTTAAACATTTAGTTTAATATAAACACAGCAGAGACTTGTCAGAAGGAAAAAAAGTATCTTAATATTGATGTTTAACCGTCTATGAAATGAACATTATTTTCTCTCTTCTTACATAAATTTGAGACTAATTAAAGCCAAGAAAAAGATGTGTATCTTTTGCCTTAATACAGAAGTTAAATGAAATTCATCACATCAGAGATAAAGAACATGTGAAATAGTGTGAGCTCTAAACGCCACATACATTGAATAATTGGAATATGTGCTTATCTTTAGGTCCATATCTTGGGTGTCATGTGTTTAGTTACTGTAAAACTAATGTTCATCTTTCTGTTCATTTCCTTCTGCCATGAGACTACGTGACAGAAATGACCTGTGACTACTCAATACTTCTAGAGCCAAACTGCAAGCTTAATTTTTGAGATAAAGTAAATTTTGGGAGTACTGATTTAATTTTTATATTAAAAAATCTAAATATTTTAGTAAATCATTTTACACAAAAGCACATTAAGATAATTGCAAAGAAAATAGAACATGTTTATATACTTGTTGGGGACCAAATATAGCCTAGTTGTGGAAATTTTTTGAAGATAAAGAGAACAGCCAAAATAATAGCAAGACGGTAGACTAATATTTTTCATTATTTTTGGAAACCATATTATATTGGGTCCATGCACCTTTTGTTGATAATGAAACCATTAATTTTCAAAGGTAATTCTTTTATTTAAAGTATGTCAGCAGGCAGTTTCTTACCTTCCTAGAATATTTAGCTTATCTAAAAGATATCAATTAAAAATCTATGTTAGTGTTGAATGTCTTGATCCTGTATGGTATCATAATATTTAATGACTCACTAAGCTTTATTTATTAGATACGTTGCGTGTTGAGTTCCTTCCTACTACTTTTGCTACCATTGCCACATCACTGTAAACTGGTCCTTCATTACTGAGTAATAAAATTTTAACTAATTTATTATTGAGTTCGCCCTTATAATGTATATATCCTGTGCTTCTGTTTCTCTAGAGTACATTTTACATATTTCTGCTATTGCAAAGTATATATATATATAAATTCACACATGTGCATGTATGCATAATGAGACTCAAATTTCCTCACTTTCTATTTTATTAAAATTTTGTACTGGGCTGTTTAGTGTGTATTTTTATTTTCTCAAAAGAAGCATGTTTTTATTCTCTTAAAAATGCTATTACTGAAAACTCAATTTAAAGTAATTTAACCCTTTATTTAACCTTTGTTAAATAATTGACATGTATTAAAATAACTCGAACACTAAAAAGTGTTCTTGGTGAAACTTAAAGTCATAAATTTTAAAAATGAATGTTAAGTATAAACAGCACTACTAGATGGACTCTCCCTTGAGAAATTATTACAAGCCATATTGGAGATTCTATTTTGGTTACTACTGAATCAGATTAATTTTTTTTATTAGAATCATTTTCATCATGAATTTGCTGTTGTTTTAAGTCATAATCTTTGAGAAATAATCTTGTAGTGCTGTCATGTATCTATGTGCTTACTGACATTTTTCTCCATAAAAATCTGCTTTTAAAGTTATTTCATGATTTGAAGGCTATATCCAGCTATTCTCACTACTCTGCTGGTGCTGTTGTATTTTTCTACTTATTTTTACAAGAATCCTGGAAATTCTGGTATTGCTTAAGTCTCTGTCTATATTGTATCATCTGGTAGGAATAAAAGAGAGGAATAGAGCCAACTCTGGTCTCTCCATTACACTTGCCAGGCCAATCTGAGCAGCCCTAGAGGGTGTGTGGGGACGACTGGTACGTGGAGCTGGATGAAAGCTTCCCAGAGGCAAGGGAGTTTAATGCTGAGAACTGAAGACTTAACGAGTTACTTTGGAAATGACTGTTTGTGGACAGAGAATAACAGAATGTGTAGAGGCCAGGAAAGGAGACAGCATCCCTACATTGGAAGAGCCAAAAGAGATTTAGGGTGGCTGGAACTTAAGAGTGCAAAAAGAGGGAATGGTAGAGAGAGGGTGGTTAATGAAGGGCCTTGTAAAGCATGACATACCACTTAAATTTTATTCCAAAAGGAAATGGGAAAAAATTTAAAGAGTTTAAATCTGAAAGTGACATAATTAAATTCACACTTTATGAGGATCATTGAAGTAATATGTTGAGTAGAAGAGTAAGATTGGACATGGAGAGGCCTCAGGGATCCACACTCAGGGATAGATTGCAGAACAGGGAAACGAATGGACTTGAGATTTAAGATGCAGGCTCAATTTGCCCAGATTAATTGGATATGATGGTAAGAAGGAGATGATGGTGACTTTCAGATTTGCGATTTGGGCAACTGTCAGTGTAATTCACTGAGATAGGGTGTACTGGAGAAGGAGGTCTTAGATGTGATGGAGGGTATATTCTATTGGTTCTCTTTCTCTGGAGAACTTTGATAAAACTGCAGACACAAGGAAACAAACAAGTTAAAAGTAGCAGAAACAGCATATTTAAACTCTTCAGAATATCTTCAGATGCTGCACTGCATTATCAAAAACAATACAAAAGAAGCATGTATGAAATGTTTAAAGAAATAAAATATGGAATGACAAAAAATGAGCAAGCAATAAGAGATTAAAAAATCACCAGGAAGGAACGGCTATTAGACTGACAGCAAACTTCTCAATACCAACAGTGGAAGCCAGAAGAGACTACAATAGTATCTTCTAGTACTCATGATGTGTTCGTGATAAAAATCACTAAGAACAATGCCTATGATACGTGATAAAAAAATACTTAAGATATTTCTGTTTCGTTACAGCCCTTATAACATAGATATTATTATGTTTTGTAGAGGAGAAGATTCACCAGGTACGTAAAATACACATATGTATCTAACAGTCTCAAAAATACATGAATCAAAAGTTGGTAGAACTACAGAGAAAAACTGACAAATCTACAACCTGACTGGGAAATTTAACACATTCAGTAAGGTAAATAGACCAGAAGTTAGTAAAAATATAAATAGCACAATGAACAGTCTTGTATTATTATTGGACATACATAGAACCAAATCCAACAGAGACCATTTTTCTTAAACATACAAAGAACATATATAAAAGTTAACCATGTACTTGTCTATAAAGGAAGACAGTAAATTTCAGACTATGTATCAAACCATGTTCCCTGATCATAAAGCAATTAATTAGCAATAAATAACATGGTTGAGAATCAACATACTGAAAAAGTCCCTGAGGGGCAGGATCTGCTCTGCCCCTCCCTCTCTATCCTCCATCACCTACTCCTCAGGTGCCTCCTCTCTGTCTTAGGGCGGCTACTGAAGCTGCAGTCAGGCCAGGCCCCTTCACTGCTTTCCCTGCTATTTGCTGTCCATTCCCTGTTGACAGCCCTAATGGATTCTACAGATTAAACATTCACAGCCCTCTCTAGTTGCCCTGGGATTAGCCTGTCAGACAATGGCAGAAACTATTCTTGCTCCCGATTCTAATGGAATAATTTACCATAAATGGCCTCCCTTTCCCCTCCAAGGAGCCCAGACTCCTTAGAGAAATGGAGGTGAGCAAGGGCTGGCTGCCTCTAATGGGATGAAGGAAGAGAAATCAGCTGTCCAAATGGAGTCATTGTCAGAGCAGCTGCTATATTAAGTGAGAGACACTGAAAGCTTCAAATCCTTCTTATAAACTAATCACTCCTGGTGGGGAGGTGCAGTCAAGAGCACTGCAGAACCCAGGCTGCATGCTCCAGGGTGGGACTTTCAAATAGGACAGGAGATGATGGGGGTGCTCCTCTTCCCTGTTCACTTCCTACATCCTTCTTCCTCCCCTTCTCCCCACCCCTCCTCCTCATGCCTGCTCTGTCCTGTCCTTGCATCTGAAGAGATTCCTTGGAGCCTTATTCCTACTCAGTTTCAGAGATAAGGTCTGTCCCAAAGTGGGCTCAAGTGTCTTCCACTAGTAGAGGAACCGAGATTAAGATGCCTGATACCACCTGGCACTGGTGCTTTCCTGGGAACCAGGACTCTGAGGGGTTGCTGACCAGGGAACATTTTCCAGGTCCATAAACTTCCCCACCAAGAGGGATGCTGCACAGGGTTATCTTGTTTATTTACCCATTACTAATTCACTCATTCAATAAATATTTATTTTCAACACAAACAAGGTGAATCCCACCTTTCTTCCACAAAGAACAGCCCAGCAGCAGAGATAACTACGTGCACATGGCAGGACACTCACTGTAGCTGCAGCTAAGACACCACAGAGATGGCACTGACAAGATTCCCTTGTCAATATACTCAGTTCATGGTCATTAGTCCGTGGAGACCATACGAGTTGCAGTATGCCAGGAGAAGACTTCTAGGAGGAAAGAATTAGATGGTGGCCATTCCCCTGGCTAACTAGACTTACTGCCATCATTTTGCATTAGATATAAATATCTTATCATTATGTTGTACACCTGAAACTAATGTCAATTGTATCTATTTAAAAAAAGACCTAGTGAGAGGTGAGGGGAGACCAACACAGTAGAGCCAGATACTTGTTGTTTATGGTTGCCAGACTAATTTCTAGACCCTGCTGGCAGATGTAGGACACTCCTCAATGTACTTCTAACCTTGTGTAGACAGATTCCAGAAACAGGCAAGACTGAGCTCGCCTGTGAAGATCCCCCATGCCCATCACAGTTGAGCTTCGCAGGAGAAGAGAAAGATAGACAGCAATACCTGCAGTGCCTCAACCTTCTGAAGAAAAGAGAGACAATTTAAGAATTGAATAGGAGGTAGAAAATACGAAGGTTTGATTGCCTACCTTTCCTTCCTGGGAAAGTTCTCAGTCTCCATGTGGTTTAGACCACCTTGTTGGAATCACATGAGCCACTCCCTCTGGCCACAGTTCATTGATCCAAGAACTAACAGCAAACCCAAGTTCTAACCCATAGACTAAGCTTAGTCCATCACATTCCTCCTCAAGAATTTGAACTAGTAAACTAAGAAATCAAAATTAAGAACTTCACACCACACTATCTAATAGTAGAGGTATTGCCCATTGCAATGGGCCGAATTTTTGTGTTTCCCCAAATTCATATGTTGAGACCTAATCCCCAGTGTGATGGTTTTTGGAGGTGGGGCCTTTGGGAGGTAATTAGGCCAAGAGGATGGTTATGAAAGGGAAAATTAACAGAAGTTAACATAACTAAACACATTAGTTAAAGGAGAAAAAAGACTGATCATCCCAATAAGTGGGAAAAAAATGATAAAAGTTACCCTTTCTTCATTTAAGAAAGAAAAAGGAATGAAAGGATGGATGGCTGGATGGGAGGGGAGGAAAAAAAAGAGAAACCTAGAATGTAAGGGAACTTCAGTTTTGGGACTATGCACAAAGATAGTCAATGTCATGTTTAACAATGAAATGTTAGTTTAAACAGACCAGAATGCTCACCATTATCATTTTTCATCAACATTGTACTGAAGGTTCTAACCAAAGTAGTAAGAAATTAAAGCCATAACAATTGGAAAGAAACAAAACTGTCATTATTTATAGAGGCTATGATTATCTAACAGAAAATCTGAAAGAACTGAGAAAAAGAATTTTTCAAAATAGGAAGTTTACCACTATTGTCATATACTACCAGTATACAAATTTCTACCGCATTTTCAGAGAATGGCATCAAATTCTGTCACCAATTTTAGTTTGGAAATGGTCCCCAAGTTCAGGGTCCCAGACTCACTTCAATTCTCTTGACAACGCTTCATACATCGTCAAAATTCCTAGCTGGGGGTAGGATGGGTCCCTGCTTTTTTCAAGGAAAGCTTTTAAAGAGGATATTCACAGTTAATGTCATCAGGAAGACAGACATTGTAAGTGGAGATCTGGTTGCAAATGCTATGTCTCAGTCTATTTTTGCTTAATAGCCGTCTCAATATTATCAGCCTGAATGAAGACAAAGAAGATCCAAAAAGATATAAAATATCCACCATTAAGAAGAGTTAGTATGATTCATTGCATTTAAGTTCAAATGACTGCTTTCAGTAAAGGATAAATGGAGAAGGGCTGGTTTAATAAGCCCTCTGATGATAAAAGCCCTCGGAGCTGTTGTCAATTACCTGTTTCTCCTGTTAAACAAAAAAAAAAGGCAAAGGGTGTCTTA